GTCCAAGGTACTTATCCATCCCTTTCGTGCCTGGCTGCGACCTCCCAAAGCAAAGTCCAATCAAACAGACAAAAAGTGTCTTCAAAATAAAAACTCATGCAAATTCAGGCCAAGCCTCCAGCCAAAGAAGAGGTTTCTGGCAGGCTCTCCCTCTGCGAGATCTGTGTTCGAGTTCCCAGTCAACAACTGCCTGCTCCAAGAATACTGTACCTTTATGGATCCATCGGTCCAAGGTACTTATCCATCCCTTTCGTGCCTGGCTGCGACCTCCCAAAGCAAAGTCCAATCAAACAGACAAAAAGTGCCTTCAAAATAAGATTAAAACTCATGCAAGTTCAGGCCAAGCCTCCAGCCAAAGAAGAGGTTTCTGGCAGGCTCTCCCTCTGCGAGATCTGTGTTCGAGTTCCCAATCAACCACTGACTCACGTGGGTGGCCATAGCCAAACTAGGGAGACATGACCTGAGAGGCGGGTGGGGTGGGCAAATCTCTGATGACCTCCCCCTCCTCGGCCACCTCCTTTCCTGGACAATTTCTCTCACCCAGCAGGTGGGCCCTGTGCTCTCTGGATTCACCCCCAACTTGTTTAATTGATTGTATTATTGATTTGAAATATTATTATCCCGCCTTTCTCCTTAAAAAAAGCACCCAAGATGACTTACATCATTAAAAGACAGTGTGCAAAGCTAACCACAGGAAGGATATGGTACCAATACAATACTCAAAAGGATCAGATACCATACTTTAAAACATATGCAACACCAGAACACATTCAACAGTACCAATACTCAAAAGGATCAGACACCATACTTTAAAACATATGCAGCAGCAGAACACATTCAAAGCACTACAACGGTTATTTAAAAATCCCACTCAGGCAGGCAGTCCTTCAGGGAAAGCTTGCTTGAAGAGAAGGTTCTTTGTCTGCTGGCAGAAAGAAAGGAAAGGTGGCAGGGAGTTCCAGAGTCTAAGGGAGGAGCCACCAAAGAAGGCCCCTCTCTCCTGGGTCCCCACCAGACACCCCTGCGGAGGTGACGGGACCCAGAGAAAGGCCTCCCCCCTGAGGATCTTAACCTCCAGGCAGGCTTATCATGGGAGACGCAGTCTTTGAGAGAGTTTGCATTCAAATTGCAGGATTTAGACTTTATAGGTCAAGACCAGCCCGGAAAGGATTGGCAGCCAGTGGAGTTGCCGGAACAGCTGGAACGTTTCGAACCCAGCCCTGAAAATCTGACCCAGCGCCATTTAGTGCTTGCCTCGGGAAGGCGGAAGAGCTGAAGTCCAGAATTAGATCCTCCCCGAGCCTTAGGGATATATTTCCAGATATATCTAAGGAAATAACATTTCTTTTCCAACATCACTTGTCCAGCTGTGCTTTTCTCAAAAGCGATGCCGTTCAAGGGGCAAACCTCCCTTTTCCCCTCCCGGGTCTTTTTAAGAAACAGCAATCCAACAGGTGCATCACAAGGCATTCCCCGCCCCGAGGCAAAGCCACACCGGCTGAACTTCTGCCTGCCGTTTCAGATGTTCAAAAGCACCAGGATAGAACCACCCCCATAACCCACCTAGACCTATTTAAAGTGTTCTGGAGGAAATGTTCTGCCAAACCACAATCGCTCCCAGCCAGTTTCTCACGGCCCAAGACTCTTTTAGACTCAGGATGTGGCCGGTGCGTCTCTTTCTGCGGGCGTTTCAGCCCTTGGAGAAGTTACTTTCTCGGGTTGTGGTTGCCAGATCCCTCCCAGGGCCAGGTGTGGTCAGTGGCCACGGCTCGTGGGAAGAATCTGGCCCCCCGGAAGTCAAAGAAAAGCAAGATTTCTCCGAAATCACAACACCTCCCCGAAGGAGCGTGGGGGGGGGGGGCAAGATTTTTTTTACCTGCAACTTTTCCTAGCAGGGCGAGTGTGTGGTCTTGTCCAAACCGAGGACGGATCCTGCGGCCACCTCACCCTGAGATGTGTTTACCGCAAGCTTTATTTGGCTCCGCCAGGCCACCACTCCTCGAAAGCTCGCGCCAAGCAAAACAGCAGTGGGTCGTTCTCGCTGCACGAAGCCATAACCCGGCTTTCCTCTCCGTCCGCCCACCCCGGGGCCTGGAAACTGTCTTTTGTCAAAATCTCAGATGCTTTTTCTTGGCGGTTTGCAGCTGCACTCCCCCGTGCAAAGCACGGCTGCACCGTGCAACAAAACAGCCCCCCCCAAGTTTCTGGCCATGGCAGAGACTAGGATAAAAGCACCTGAGGCATGCATTTCTCACCTGCAACAGGTGTGGAAAGCTGCCAGGCCAGAGAGAGTGATGGGTCTTACAGTTAACAGCATCTGCTCAGAAGGGGATTGGGTGTATGTTTGTTTATCTGAGCTGTGTGTGTGTGTGTATCACAGATTGTGCGGTTTCCAAGCCGGTGCCCTTTTAGCTGCTCTGTTTACAACTTTCTCCCTCGCTCTTATTCCTGCCCAGTCCCTACCCACTCCATGCATCTGTCGGAGAGGGTGCGCCCCCCCCCCGAGGCTCCTGTTACCGACAAGAAACACGTCTTTGCCTTTAAGGTGCCACACCGCTCCGCATCTGTGCATGTCCATGTGCAATGCCCGCCTGTCCATTGGTAGGGATATTTCTAGCAACCTGGCATGTTTATAGCAGGCGCCTGGATTGTTTTCTATTTATAATGTGAGTTTCTGGCCCCTTGGGGGGCTTGGCGCTGCCACCACCACCACTGGCACCGGGTGTGCCAGGAGGTGGCCTGTCCCCCGCACCCACCGGCACCCCTTCAAGCAGCAGGTTGGCACCCTGGCATCTGCCAGGGGCAAGGACCTGACCCCAGCTGGTGTGCAAACTGAAGGGTCTGCAGGGGTGTGCCCGGAAGATGCCCGGGGGTGTGTGTGTCCCTGTGCAAAGGTGCAAGGGGGGGAAGGATCCAGATGCCCCCAACACCCCTCCTTGCCCCCTCCCCTCCACTGCGTTC